CATTAACCTTCGCATGCACAAAAGAACTGATTAACTGGCAAAAGACATACGCCTTCAAAGAGGGAATACATAACTTTGGGTTGGCAGCTTCCTGTAGTGTGGGTTGGTTGTATGTAGGTGGGGTTTATATGGATGTGGGCGTATGGGGGTGTATGTGGGTGGGTGGGTGGGGTTATTAAGAGCGAGGGCTGGTTGTGGCAGCGGTCCGCACCTGCTAATTTAGACCGGTGAGCGTAGTGACAAGGTGTAGGGGTGGAAGATGTAGGTAGGGAGGACTGTGTACATATACAGAGGGTGGGGAGGTGTAGTGAGAGTACCTGTGTGGAGGGGTAAGGGTATGTGTAGGGGTGTAGCAAGGCTGTGTCAAAAGTAAGGGGAGTGTAGTTGGTTTACGTGGGGTGTTGGGGGGGAAGGTGTAGTCGGTGTACACGGAGGGGTGAAGGGGTAGCAGTCCACTACCAACTCAGGGCTCAAAGCCAAGTCTGTGTCTTGCCCACCTTTCTTCTTCTTCTTCCCCCACTGCTAGTTCTTTTTTTTTTTTTTCGCCGGTATTCTCCCGGCCCGGGTCTTTTCCAAGTAGTGGTGACCCGGCCTTGGCTCCCTATCTGGGGAGTGTCTCGAGACTTAAGTCTCCCATAGGAGGAGGTACAAGTACCTCCTCATCTTTGGGACCAAGTGTCCCCAGGCCTAGCCACATTCCCCGCCCTCACGGGGCTCGTAGGGAGAAGCTAGGCCTCTGGTCTGCCATCTACCCCGCCTCAAAGGGGCTCGTGGGGATGGCAGTCTTATGAGCTGCAGATGGTAGCAAGCTCAGGCCTTTATCATAGTATTACCCTAATATTATAAAAAAAAACATTAAGAATCTTGTCTGAAATTATCTAAACATGATTTTTATCAGAACCCCAGTCGAAGTATGTCACAGTGTTTGACTATTGGATTTCCCTAGGTTAAATTTACAGTGTGTATTTATGTGCCCATGACACCTGTTTCCTCAAGACCCCTATAAAACAAATTGTGTGTTATCTACAAAAAAAAATATCTAAAATCTTAGTGCCTGTAAACTTATTTGTAAATCTGTAAATTTTATTTTACATCTTAATTTATGATTTTACATTTGTGTTCAGCAAACGTCCAAAAATGTTCTCTGTCTCTCTCGGATATTGTCATACTTGTACTTGAAGCTGATGAGGCAATGCAAAACCGTGTGGTATTCCTTGCACTACTTTATCACGGTAGCCTTGTATCTTTGTACTGCTGGCATTCTTGTACCACTGTTACCTAGTATCACTGTGTTTCCATACCACTATAACTACCACCGTATTCTTATGTCACTATAAACTTCTACTACTGTGTTCTTTACCACTATATACTTTTACCACTGTGACCTCGTACCTCAATATTCCTGTACCACTATAACCTCATACCATTGTGTCCTTGTACAACTTTCAGTTGATCTGCTATGGAAGAATGGAGGCAATGAAGACTGAGACGGAGAACAGGACAAAACTCAAATCATTCAATAGGGCGAAAGTCGCATGTGATGATGTCAGAAGGTCTCGCATTCATGGATAAAAACAACGTTGCTATTGCTACCGCAATGATAGGCTGGGCAAGAGATGCTGAGCTAGTGATGATACTCTTCAGATCACTTTTTCTCTCCAGGCTGCAATACTGCTGTATACCTGGAGTTTACCTGGAGAGAACTTTCACTGCCCATATACATTCAGTCAAACGTTTGAACTACTGAGGGGCGCTGTTAGTCCAAAAACTCGGCTCCTCGGAACGTTGGCGAGAAGGATAAATCCTAATTTACATCTGAGAAATTCTGGAGGGACCGGTTCCAAACCTGAACAATGCAATCACTCCGTATGACAAGAAACTTGGAAAACGGTGTAGAGTACAGCCAATAAAAAACAGGAGCTAGACGTACACAGAGAGAACTGGATGACCGTCTGAGGTCCTCTACTCTTCAACGCCCTCCCTTTGTGCATAGGGAGACTTATCAACCAACCTCTGGGTGTTTTCGGGACACCGTGGCCGTCACGGTGCCCCGTGGCCTGTTGGCTAAAGCTCTCGCTTCACATGGTGAGCGTCCAGGTTCGATTCCCGGTGAGGGTAGAAACATTGGGCGTGTTTCCTTACACCGGTTGTTTATGCTCAGAGGAGGATGACAAAGACGATCCCATGTATCAGAAATCTTCCCTATGAGGATAGACTGAGTGCCCTGAATCTGCACTCTCGAAAGGCGTAGAATTAGGGGGGATATGATCAAGGTGTATAAATGGAAAACAGGAATAAATAAAGGAGATGTAAATAGCGTGCTGAAAATTTCCAGCCAAGACAGGACTCGCATCAATGGTTTCAAGTTGGAAAAATTCAGATTCAGGAAGGATATAGGAAAGCACTGGTTTGGCAATAGAGTCGTGGTTGAGTGGAACAAACTCCCGAGTACAGTTATTCAGGCTAAAATGTTGTGTAGTTTTAAAAATAGGTTAGATAAATACATGAGTGGGTGTGGGTGGGTGTGAGTTGGACCTGACTAGCTTGTGCTGCTGGGTCTGGTGCCGTGCTCCATCCTTGAGTGGAAGTGACCAGACGGGGTGGGTCATTGGGCTATTCCGGGGGGGGGACATGGGCCTGCTCCGCATGGGTCAGTAGGCCTGTTGCAGTGTTCCTTCTTTATGCTCTTACGTTATGTCAGCTAGGCCTGTATACTTTGTACATGTACTTGTAGAAATAAAGATATCATTATTATCATTTCTTGATCAGCCGGGCTGTGGTTCGTACGTTTGACTGTATTTGAACAGCAGTAATAGCCTGACTGATCATTTTTTGATCTACCAAGAGGCTTGGCCAGGGACCGGGCCGCGGGGGGCGTTTACCTCCGGAAACATGTCAGGTATCCACAGCCTAGTACAGTGGTACTAGGCTGCTCCTGTACTATGTTCGTATACCACTGTATTCCTGCACCATCATAACCTCATACTACTATATTCCTGGACATTTACAACCTCGAACCACTGTGGTCCTGTATCAACATGCCCTCATATCACCATCACTGTAACAGCATACTGTTACTGGTATAATCCTGTAGCATCCCATCCCAGCTTAGGTTAGGTTAGGTAAGGTTCGTCAGGAAACAGGACAAGAGTTTCCTGACGCGGGTCTTAGTCAGATGGCCCGCCGCGTCAGTGACTATAGTGCAACCATCAGGAAAACATTAGTTAACCATTACGGCCTCCGTTTTCTGTTTGAATTAAATTATAGAAAACTAAGTAAACTGGGTAAACTACGGAATAATAATACTAGATCTTTTAGGATGTGAAATCATCGGCTATTGACGTACATTTTCAGCCATATTTGACATGAAGCCGCATTGATAAACCACGTACACGTAGCAGGTATATATGAAAGATTTCTATCATCTATCTAAGCCTTTTGTGGGTGAAGTAATCGGCAAGACAAGTCTAATATTCTACAGGAAAACCATGGACGTCTAAGGCGCTGTGTGACGCCTACGGATTTACAGCCTTCCCCATGAAATAAATATATAAATAAATGAAAGAAGTAATAGTAGACGTATGTTTAAGTAGCTTTGACAGCAAAGGTCACGCAGCGCTCACAGCCATAAAAAATATATTCAACATATGCACAATAAACAGGGCTTGGTGGTACGAGGCTGCAACACCAGGAGGCTACACCAACACTCCCGTCAAGGAAGCTGCCTTCAATACTGCTCAACACCTCTTGGTGCAAGGATTTGTTGCTACCCTCTGTTTCCTCGCATCAAACCTGATTGCATCTCATTTCTTTGACGTTATTTGACCCTTTACAAATTTAGAGCTTCCCTGTGAATTTAATAGTAGAGCCGTCTATGTAGCAAATAGTTAATATCTACATTTTATAAATTATATTAAGAAAGTTGTTTCATTGTTAAGTAACTATGATTATGTTGTGCCATCACAAGAGTCACGAGTTACTTGTAAGTGTAACTTAAGGTGGATGGATAATTATATACAGGGGATGGTGTAAATAACAGCCTTGGATCGTATGTGTTGCGTATGTGTTAATAGGTCCTGAATGACTCACGAAATTGTCGCTAACGCGACGGTCTGGAATTTTGAGACTCTGGTCGCGGGTTCTAACCCCACCCGTGGTATGATTTGGTTAGGTCCTGAATGGTGTTGGAAGTCAATATTGGCTATGCTGGTCTTGCTAGATGCAGTAAGGAATGTATTTGCCAGGAGTCTGTCTAGTGGTGTGGAAGACCTTAATAGACTTTCTTCTACAATTATTAATGTAATAGGTGATTTAATCTGGAAGAGGTTATATATATGTAACTGAATTCTCCTTCAAGGGGTTCCTATGAGGTTTCATATAAGAGCGTTTGATGATTCCTCTCCCAGTACGTGGATGAGACACTGGATGACCTCTGTCAGTACGTGGATGACAGATACACTGGGTGACGAAGTGTTTCCATAATAAAATGTCGTAGTTACCGCATCTACTACTTACATATTTGTCGGTGTTAATTACCATTGGTATCCCCAAGTCTTTTAACTACTGCCACTGTTTATCTAGGGTGGTAGTATAATTGTGATAGGGCTGGGATTTGAAAATAGTCGAGGCAGAATAATAGTTCTAGAAACAGTAAGCTGAAATGTGTACAAAAAATGGTGCTCTTCAATGGACAGTACGGTAGCGTTCCTCAATGGACAGAAGTCGAAAAGAAAAGAAAAACTTGCAAACATGACAATTCACAAACAACAGTAACTCCAGTCCTAATGGAAGAAATATTGATATATCTGACCATATCCTCATCTCCCTACTTAAATCTTCCAGCTCAGACTAGTGGATTTCATTACCTAACGTATAAACTTCATTCTTTACGATTGAGTATAACAGTTAAACAGGTAATATTTGTTTCATTGACGGAGTAATCTTATAGAATAGGGTAGCAGCACAGTTATGGAAAGACATCCATACAGTGAAGGACTTACCTCAACAATTGTGTGGCTCTGCTCGTCTAAGTCGACCTGGGGTGGGACCGAGGCAGGTCTTGTGAGGTAATATGTAGCAGTGACCAGGGCTGCTGCAGCTACCACCCCGCCCATCAACGGGGCATACTCCTCCAGCAGTCCTGTAAGAAAAAGCACTTACTAAGTTACTACCACATCTACCACACCCTGCTATCACAGCATTACCAGTCTCATGCTTCATCAGCCACTACCACAAACCATTAATCACTACCAACTAAGGCCTCTCCTTCATCGCTCAATGAACTTATCCACAGGGTCATCTCCATCCAGCCCCCCCCCCCAAAAAAAAAAAATTTAAGACACTGAAATCTCAATTGTGTAGGAGTATAAGGAAATTTATGTATATATATCAGCAACTTTAGTGAAACTATATGAAATGACGTATTGCTGACAATTTTAGAGAAAGACAATTTGCAGTGCAAATTATTATTACTATATATATATATATATATATATATATATATATAATATATATATATATATATATATATATATATATATATATATATATATATATATATATATATATATATATATATATATAGTCACGAAAGCGCTTGGAATTTCTCTATTCTTTCACAGTGGTTGTTTTGCATATTCTGAAATCACCTGTTTACTGTGATCTTATTGAGCAGGATGAAAATATGTTTTTGCCATAAATCTGTAGAAATCGATTTGAGCATATCGAAAATAACATATTATTTGTTTTAAGTAATATTACATAAATTTTAAGTGAACTATGCTGTATATAGCAGAAGATAGCTAAAAAAAATTATGCTAGCTTAAGTGAGTTTAGGTGAGGTTTCTAAGATAGTTTTGGTCCAAAAATAAAAATATATTATTGTCAATAAAAAAAATAGCTATCATTCTGTAAAAGAATTTTTCTAAGTATTTTTTTAAGGGAGTTCGGCCTATTCGGCAAGTTCGACTTATTAGGTACATCTACATATATATGTACTCCTTGGCAGTGACATAACACATGAAGGTCACAAGTGGGGAAGCCTTCCACCCGAGGCACCACCTGTCACACCTTGGCTTCTTCCCTTACCTGCGTCAGCACAGCACCACTGTAATATTATTACTTCATCCATGACGACGACACCACCACCACCACCACCACACCACCACCACCACCACCACCACCACCACACACCACCACCACACCACCACCACCACCACCACACACACCACCACCACCACCACCACCACCACCACCACCACCACCACACCCACCACCACCACCACCACCACCACCACCACCACCACCACCCCACCACCACCACACCACCACCCACCACCACCACCACCACCACCACCACCACCACCACCACCACCACCACCACCACCACCACCACCACCACACCCCACCACCACCACCACCACCACCACCACCACCACCACCACCACCACCACCACCACCACCACCACCACCACCACCACCACCACCACCACCACCACCACCACCACCACACCACCACCACCACCACCACCACCACCACCACCACCACCACCACCACCACCACCACCACCACCACCAACCACCACCACCACCACCACCACCACCACCACCACCACCCACCACCACCACCACCACCACACCACCACCACCACCACCACCACCACCACCACCCACCACCACCACCACCACCACCACCACCACCACCACCACCACCACCACCACCACCACCACCACCACCACCACCACCACCACCACCACCACCACCACCCACCACCACCACCACCACCACCACCACCACCACCACCACCACCACAACCACACCACACCACACCACCACCACCATCCACTCACCACCACCACCACACCACCGCACCACCTACCACCACACCACCACCACCACCACCACCACCACCACCACCACCACCACCACAGTACATTTCGCCACAACCACAACGCTGCATCATACAATATGTCTACACTACAACACACCATAGTGTGGGGTTAATTGGAGGGCGGGGTCACACAGTGTGTCGTGGTCACTGTGAGAGGTTTACACCATCTTTTTGTGGTCTGTAGGAACTTATACTATACCATCCAACCCTGATCATGGACTCGCACGATAACCGAGAGAACCTTCACTGTACACCTGACAAAGGAAGACGACTGCAACGTGCTCTTTAATAGAGATGTACCTAAGTTCTGCACACAGTGGAAATGACTGAGCATGGATAGGACCTACCAAGCCTGGGCAAGTAGACTACTACTTTAGTGCTCTCCATTCTAACGACAAATCCACTTCCTCCTGGTGAGGTGCGACCCAGTCCTTGGACTCATTATGTACCTCTGTAATCTTTTGACTACGGCCCACAGGTGCATAATTAAGATGGTAAACTAACGCCTGGTGAGGATGAATCACCACAAACACTACTGAGTAGGGCCAGCAGCTCCTCTACTTCAGCTAATTAACAGCTTCTACTTATCTTCGGTATTTCTTAATAGTTCTTATTTCTGCTATTTCGTTTCCAATTCAGGCCTGGTTTAAGACCGGATCGCTGGGACGATGATTCTTAGAACCCATTAACAAATATAACACAGACAGACACACGAGGTAGGTGACTGGGTGGATCACAAACTAGTCGACCATCAGTCTTGCTATTGCAATTTTTTAAATCAGATTAATGATTCACGAAATCGTAATGACACGATTGCAAACAAACCATACCACGGGCGGGATTTGAACCCGCGGTCAGAGTCTCAAAACTCCAGACCGTCGCGTTAGCCACTGGGCCAGCTAGCTTCAATAAGATTCGTCCAACCAGATGTATTTCTACACCATAGGAAGGTTAGCATAGGCATTACTGTGTCCACAAATGCATTTGTGGACATCTAGTTGGACGAATCTTATTGAAGCTAGCTGGCCCAGTGGCTAACGCGACGGTCTGGAGTTTTGAGACTATGACCGCGGGTTCAAATCCCGCCCGTGGTATGGTCAGATTAATGATATCCACCTAATATTTCACACTACCTACCTGCTCCAAGTTTTTGAGAATATGTTCCCCATAGAATTAAAAACTTGTGTCTCTCAGGTTATGTGGCTTCACACACTAAGGAATATATAACTTCACACTCCTCAGCTGGTTACATGAAAGCAGAGTGTAGCATTACTTAATTCATCTGTATGCACATCACTCCTACATCACACACTCATTTTTTTAATTTCATTTATAATCTTTTGAAAATATTTTCAAAAACTAATTTCCAAAGTATGCACATCATTACACGGGGAAATAATAAACTCACGGGTCATGCATTATTGCGGTGCTGTATATGGAAACACGGTGAGGTTACTGGAATTATATTAATGGAATGCAATACCGACAAGTAGATGAACAAAGACATGCGCAGCACGTCATGAATGTCCGGTGGACAAATCGAAACTCACACGTGCATTATCCTCCGAAGTTGTACATATACAGAGTACTATGAGATATCTGAAACATCTATGTTAATAATATACAATATGCAGTTAATGGTATTTTACCAACATACATCTGGCTGTCTTCAGGAGGAAACTTGATAGGTTTCTCAAATTAATTCCTGACTAGACGAGCTGTAAGTTATCCGTAGGACAGCGTGAGGCCAAGAGTAACAGCCTAGTTGACCAGGCCCTGATCCACTAGGCCTGGTCTGGAACCGGACCAAGGGGGCGTTGACCCCTGAAAGCATCCTTCAAGTATCCTTCACGTACCTATCAGGGACACTCAAAAACTGATAAAATTCCTGGTGGACGAAACTTCTCAATAAAATGTTATATCATTATTTTATTAGTACAGTTGTAATGTGCATGAGAGTGGTAAGTGTTGCTCACAGCTATGCTCTGAAGATCCTGGCTAACTAGTAAGTGTCCCTGGATTACTTTATCCCGGAAGACAGCCGCATACCATACTCCCCCTGAGGATTTGGAGCCATCATTGCACCCTGTTGTAGCATATGAATGTGACTGAAAATGTTCTAGGGAAAGTGAGAGGGAACTTGTAGTAGTTATTTATGCTTGCCTTCGGGTACGCAAGGAAGTACAAACCCTAATAAACAGACACTTCACAGAGACGGGGGGGGGGGGGTAGGAAAAATACAATACAGGGTGAGCGTATCAAGGTCAGAAAATAGGGATGTAGTCCGAGATCAATCGTAATAAATGAAGTCGGCGATGGGATAAATTAAACATTTGTGATTACTCTATGGGAACGCTTGGAAGCACTCGACTTGTACTCGTTGGAACGCAGGAGGGAGAGATATATCATAATCTACACTTGGAAAATCTTGGAAGGAATGGTCCCAAATCTGCACACAGAAATCACTCCCTACGAAAGTAAAAGACTGGGCAGGCGATGCAAAATGCCCCCAATAAAAAGTAGGGGCGCCATTGGTACACTAAGGGAAAACACCATAAGTGTCCGGGGCCCAAGACTGTTCAACAGCCTCCCATCAAGCATTAGGGGAATTGCCAATAAACCCCTGGCTGCCTTCAAGAGAGAGCTGGACAGATACCTAAAGTCAGTGCCGGATCAGCCGGGCTGTGGCTCGTACGTTGGACTGCGTGCGGCCAGCAGTAACAGCCTAGTTGATCAGGCCCTGATCCATCGGGAGGCCTGGTCATGGACCGGGCCGCGGGGGCGTTGATCCCCGGAATAACCTCCAGGTAACCTCCAGGTAAGTGGATCGTGAAAGGCTTGGTAGCGCACAAAATAACGAAGGCAATGGGCAACACGGCGATCTTATAAAGTAGGAATTTTTGCTTCTGTATACAGGTTCTCTACTAGGGAGGATGGAAAACCTCCCAGTTATAAACCTAACTCCTGAGGATGGTGTCAAGTTTATAATTAGTAGTCGACGAAGCTGTAGAATTAACTTGTTCTTCATAATCTAGGATGGACAAGACCAGGGCCGAATAAAGTCGAAGAATTATTTATCAGGTCTCCATGAAAAATGGGATTAAGTTTTTAAGGGATTCGGCCGACTAAGGTAAGAGGTTTTTAGGGAAGTGAAGCAGAGGATGCGGTAAAAAAAAAAAAAGTATGTGGGGGAGACAAGCTTTGGAGTTTAGAATTCTCGAACACACAAACGCCTGCACTGGAATAACCACAAGAACGCCTGTGTATATAATACAAGAGCTAGTGTGGACAACTGATGAAGTAGAATAAGACCCGATTAGTCATCCGTGAAAATGACTAACAGGGACAGATGTTGCCACTAACAACACCATCCCACAAAAAGATCTGGAAGCCTCAGGGTTTCCAAACTTTTAACCAGCAGATCATTAAGTATAATACGATCAGCCATCGATCATTACAACTTGCCTCGCTTCACCTCATCACCCTTGCTACTGGTCACCTGCCCACACTATATAACACCCTGTTTTAGCTCACTCTGTCAGAGCTAAAACATGAGCGATACAAAAGTGTCTTTATCCACAGATCTGTTACAAGTTAAACAATAGCAAAAAAAAAGTCAGCAAAGGCTACAAGACCATACATATGAGACGCTGGTAGGTAATGAATCTCAAGTGGGGGTTGGTAGGTACTGACTACATACATACACTGAACCTTAGGAGATAGCAGTGTTGCAACAACCGTGTCCAGGAGGAAGCAATAAGTGTGCAACAACTGTGTTCAGGAAGAGGTAATAAATGCTGCAATAATAGGAAAATTTAGACAAATATGTGACGAACACCGAAGACTGACAACTGAAGAAGGGACATTATGAGCACAGCCCGCCACCTGTGGCTACAGTCACTCACAAACACGTAATAAACAGTGTGTGGACTATATCCAGAGTGAGACTTGGTTGACCACACACTGGTGTGTCCTCCTCACGCTAAAGTTGTTAGTTTATTATATAAACAACCTCCAGTGTTAATACATATGGGGCATAAACCCAGGTGCTGCAAACGCCGAGCAAAAACCCACCATTTTGAAAAATATGAAATAAACATTGAGTTAGGCACAGTGTTACATCTGTGCATATTATTATTAGTTTTATTATATTCATGGTCACACAGCAACTGAGGAATGGACAGTAATACGGTTTAGTCCACTGAAGGAAATAGTTTCTCAAATTCTTTAGACCAAGAGCCCTTCCCCAGCATCAAGGCACTCTGCTTGAAGGGTAGCTACTATGTAACAAAAAGTTTACCCCTAACCGTGGGAGCAGCTACTGAACACTGATTCTGTTTCTTACTTTTAGGCCTGGGCTGAGCCAATGTAGGGGCAGGCAGGTGTGTGAGGGAGTGGCCAGCCTTCTGGAGGGCCAGGCTAGCCCCATGCTTGAGGGACTGGCCAGCGTCCTCTACAGTACCAGCTAACTCAGCCGTTTCCCTCGATGACTTCGACGACGCTGCCATCCTCGCCACGACCACTGCATCTGCTGCAGATGATCGTAATACATTGTCCACACTCTGAAACATTGCTGTTGTGACTGTCCCTACAGTGTGTGCTGCTGTGGCGAAAGCACCGTCTGCAGCAGTGGGTGCCAACCCCGCCAGGGTGATGAGGTCCACCACTACTTCCTCAAAACCACTCATCATTACACTCAATGTTCACTCTATGCTATTTTCCTTCAACTCTGAAATTTCAAAATGCAATTATTTCAGCGGAACATTTCATGAACAACAACGCAAGTTTTCAGTAATTTAAAATCATGTAAAGGCACGGATTATTCGTACGATGCAGTAGTTCTCTTGTGAATGTAAATTCTTTTGCTTGTTTCAGAAACGGCAGTTGCACAATATTGGCAGCTTTCACGGTGGACAAAATACAGTGTTATTAAAACAGTTCACCCCATGCCTGCCCAAGTACAGATCTATCCCAGTACACAGCCGTCTCACTTCACACCTGTTCCGATACACTTGCCCCGGTATACTTAAATAGGTCAGTCTAAATAGAACTATTAATAACATAACAGTACTGGTTGGGACTTAAATATAGACAAGACAACTGCACGTCTAGTGCCATAAGTGAGATATGCTGGTTTTACACCAGTGCTATCAGTGGGATACCTGAGTATGGCACATGTATGTGCAGACACCCAATGTGTAAGATCTTGTGTGTCTGGATCCTGCATGTGGGATCCTCTGAATGTGTAGGATCCTCTCAGTGTGTGCGATCTGTGAGTGTGTGGGATCTGTGAATGTGTGGGATCCAACGAGTGTGGGACCTAAGAGTATGTAGGATCCTAAGTGTGTGTGAGATCCTATGAATGGGTAACCCCCTTTCCCTGTGAGTGTCAGAGACCGTAAATTTATGGGACCGGTGAGTGCATGGCACCTATTAGTATGCAAAACCTGCTAATGTGTGGAACGGCCCCCGCGAGTGTGTGTAATTCCCCAGTAGTACGTTTCAGGAGACCGATTAGGTCTGGCAAGGTTACTAACCTGATCCCTTATAACCCCCTTCCCCACATGAAGCTCCGACCAGAGACGCACTTCTCGGCACTGCAACATGCAGAGAGCGCTGTCAAGGCAGTGACCTGCAGTCAGCAAAGGTCAACAATACCACAGCTTTCACTCAAGACTCGACAGGCAAAAAAGGAGCAAAAACATGATAGACGAGGATATAAGGAAGAATAATATAGTAGTGACGATGACTATATTATATATATATATATATATATATATATATATATATATATATATATATATATATATATATATATATATATATATATATATATAAATATATATATATTATATATATATATATATATATATATATATATATATATATATAAATATATATTATATATATATATATATATATATATATATATAAATATATATATATATATATATATATATATATATATAATTATATATTTATATATATATTAGTATATATATCATGTACACCGTGAGGTGTGTAGTTCTTGAGTGTATATGTAGAGAAAATTCACATTAATCTGTTTTAGGTATTAAAGTATTCTTGACTGGCAGTGTACTGGTGATAAACAGGTGATATATACCCGGATATACACACCTCACGGTGTATATACACCCGGATATACACACCTCGCGATGTAACCTATTACATTCAAAAGTAAGCCCCAAGCCACTGTGTCATACAGATTACAAGGGGCAGTGTTGCCAGTATCTTGCTGCAATACTGTCAGTATCTTTTGCAGTGTTGCCATTATCTTGTTGTGTTTCTAGTTTAATGTTGCAGTGTTTCTAGTATCATGTTGCAGTGTTTCTAGTATCATGTTGCAGTGTTTCTAGTATCATGCTGCAGTGTTTCTAGTATCATGCTGCAGTGTTTCTAGTATCATGTTGCAGTGTTTCTAGTATCATGCTGCAGTGTTTCTAGTATCATGCTGCAGTGTTTCTAGTATCATGCTGCAGTGTTTCTAGTATCATGCTGCAGTGTTGCCATTATCTTATTGTAGTGTTGACAGAATCATGTTGCAGTGTCGCCAGTATCTTGGGTTCTAGTATGTTGCAGTGTTGCCAGTATCTTGTTGCAGTGTTGCCAGTCTTTTGTTGCAGTGTTGCCAGTATCTTGTTCTTGGTAAAGCGGGGTATCCCCATAGCCTCCTCACAAGTATCTCCAGGTATCCCTCAAGGCCTGACACGGGTAAATCCTAACATCCCCTCAGAATCCACTCAGGTATCCCCAGACTCCACACAAGTATCCACGGGTATCCCCAGATTCCACATAAGCATCCAAGGGTATTCCCAGGCTCCACGCAGGTATCCCTAGACTACATAAGCATCCCCGGATATTCTCCAGGCTGCACACAAGTATCCCCAGGCTGCTGTACACAGGTATCCCCCAGGCTGCCGCACACAGGTATCCCCAGACTGCACACAAGTATCTCCAGGTTGCACACGGGTATCCCCAGGCTGCACACAAGTATCCCCAAGTTATTCACAGATATCCCTAGGTTACACACAAGTATCCCCAAGTTGGTCACAGGTATCCCTAGGTTACACACAATTATCCCCCGGTTACACACAGGTATCACACAGGCTGCACACAGGTATAACCAGGCTGCATGCGGTTATCCTCCAGGCTGCACACAGGTATTCCCAGGCTATACACAGGTATCCTCCAAGCTGCACAAAGGTATCCCCAGGCTATACAGAGGTATCCCCCATACTGCACACAGGTGTCCCCAGTCTATACACAGGTATCCTCTAGGCTGCACACAGGCACCCCCAGGTTACACACAGGTATCCCCCAGGCTATACACAGGTATCCCCAGGCTACCCATAGGTATCCCCCAGGCTATACACAGGTATCCCCAGGCTACCCATAGGTATCCCCCAGGCTACACAGTTATCCCCAGGCTATACACAGGTATCCTCCAGGCTGCACACAGGTATCCCCAGGTTACACACAGGCATCCTCCAGACTGTTCACAGGTATCCCCAGGTTACACACAGGTATTCCGTAGGCTATACACAGGTATCCCCAGGTTACACACAAGTATCCCCAGGTTACACACAGGTATCCCCAGGCTATATAGAGGTATCCCCCAGGTTACACACAAATATCCTCAGGTTACACACAGGTATCCCCAAGTTGCACAAAGGTATCCCCGATGTCTAGAAAGTTCTCAGTCTGGACAAAAAGAAGAAAATCTCAACCAAGGTGAACTTTTTGCTACTGTCTCTGTGAAGCTAACTTTAAACACAGCTTTACACGATTATATTTTTAGATTTTACACGATATCCTAAATGCTACGTAACTCTCAGTGTGTACGTGTTTTCAATGTGTTTGTTATCCTAGTGTACATGTGTGTTTGTTATCCTAGTGTAGATGTATTTATCCTAACGTGTTTATCCTAGTGTAAATGTATTTATTATGCTAGTGTTTGTTATCCTAGTGTAGATGTGTTTATCCAATTATAGGTGGTTGTTATCCTAATACAGGTGTTTCTCATCCTAGCGTAGATGAGTTTATCTTAGTGTGTGTGTGTTTGTGTTTATGCTAGTTTATGTGTGTATCTTATTATAGATGTGTTTATCCTAGTGTAGATGTGTTTGTTATGCTAGTGTAGGCAAGTGTGGCGTCTGGCAGCGGGTATATGCAAGGTAGTAGTCGCTATGGGGAAAAAATGACTATTCTCTGCCGCTTCGCTCTGCCTTTTTTTTTTTTTTTTACACGTATCAGTCTTACAGGGTAAGAGCTGCTGGTCTACCGCACCTCATTTCAAAGCGCAGTACTGTCTAAAGCAGTGGTTCCCAAACTGGGGGTAAATTACCCCCTGGGGGTAATTTAACCATTTTGGGGGGGTAATGGAGGGGTGACAGAAAAAAAGTTATGAATTCTGAAAATCAAGAAAACAATGCGGTACCCGGTATGAGGATTATTGTTAACTTTGTCTTAGTATATAAAGTTGTAAAGTAAACCTATTATAAGTAAGTAATAAAGTTAAACCAAATAACAATAAACATCAAAAACTAATATACAGTATTAGAAAAGAAGAAATATATAGCTGTGTGGAAACCCAAAAGTATTTTGACAAGTATGCTTCAGGACAAAAGTCACTCAGGAGCCCAGATCGACCTGTCCAGTACGCGTCACTCACTTCCTGAGGCTGCCTCTATTTCACACTGTCAGTTTATCTGTGAGCATCAGCCGAGGTAGACATAAGCTGGTATGTATGTGTACTGCCCTGTGCAGTATATAGTTAGTATTTACCCACTGTTACTGTGAATTTGTAGCTATTATTAATTTTATATATAATGTATGTGTGGTTCTTACGTTTTCAATGGTTTTGCTAGGATTAGCAGAGTATGCGAGGCTGTATACGTTCACGTTTAGCCATATATATCAATAATAACATTTTGTGAAAGGGGTAACATGCTTTATGTGGCATGTTAAATTGGGTAACAAGCTGATAAAGTTTGGGAACCACTGGTCTAAAGTATACTACCACACACAGAATGCCATCCAGAACAGTCAACAAACACTCAGGTACCTCCTTACTGCTGCAAGAGTAACAGGGAAAGTAGGTGTAAAGAAACATGTCCAACGTTTCCACCCGAGCCGGGGATCGAACCCCAGCCACAGTATTTGAGCCGAGTGCGTTACAACCGAGCCACTGGGATGTGCGTTTCCCGCATTCCTAGAGGCTAGGCTGTCAGCTCTGGTCGCTGCCACACTCAGTATATTAAGTTGATGAGGTATACGAGACGCAGGATGCCAGAAAATACTGCAGTTTCAGGGTAGTTATGTGAAATAAATTGGATGAAAATCCATACACTTTTTTTTAAGTGATTGCGAGTAGTCAAGAGGCTGGGGCAGGAACCGAGACGCAAACCTTGCAATCACAAATAGGCGAGTACGTTTTATTTTAAATCAATTTTAAGTATAAATATTAATTGGGTTCCAGGACACAAATAATCAAAAAATTTATTGGACACTGGTAAATAAAACCTTCAACTAAACCAGAAAATATGTTTGTGCAGCCTGTGAACGAGGCCTGGGTTCTGGGTCCCAGTCAATACTTCCTCATACAACTGATGAGAGGAAACTTATTTCTTATATAGCAGTGAGACGAGTGCTGATAGGTCACTGGTGGGTAGTGGTTGTTCACGCCTATCACCACAGTGCCTGTTATGGCTGCACCATATAGTTACCACCAGAGTGCCTGTCATGGCTGCACCACACCACTACCACCAGAGTGCCTGCCATGGCTGCACCACACCACTACCACCAGAGTGCCTGCCATGGCTGCACCACACCACTACCACCAGAGTGCCTGCCATGGCTGCACCACACCACTACCACCAAAGTGCCTGCCATGGCTGCACCACACCACTACCACCACAGGGCTTGTCATGGTTGCACCACACCAGTACCACCACAGTGCCTGTCATGGCTGCACCACACCAGTACCACCACAGTGCCTGTCATTTCTGCACCACACCAGTGCCACCACAGTGCCTGACATGGCTGCACCACACCACTACCATCACAGTGCTTGTCATGGCTGCACCACACCACTACCATCACAGTGCCTGTCATGTTATGGCTGCACCACACGTGCCATCACAGTGCCTGTTATGGCTGCACCACACCACTATCACCATAGTGCCTGTCATGGTTGAACCACATCACTATCACCATAGTGCCTGTCATGGCTGCACCACACCACTGCCACTACAGTGCCTGTCATGGCTGCACACCAGTACCACCACAGTGCCTGTCATGGCTGCACCATACCAATACCACTACAGTGCTTGTCATGGCTGCACCACACCATTACCACCACAGTGCTTGTCATGGCTACACCACACCACTACCACTACAGTGCTTGTTATGGTTGCATCACACCAGTGCCACCACAGTGCTTGTCATGGCTGCACTACACCATTGTCACCAGTGCCTGTCATGGCTGCATCGCACCAGTACCATCACAGTTCCTGTCATGGCTGCACCACACCACTACTACCACAGTCCCTGTCAATGCTGCACTCTTCTCACTGCCTGGTCTCCTCGTATCAACAACACTGAGACAGGTTTCCATGCCTGGAGTTACAACAGTCTGCCATCAACGTTCACCACTGCTATATATAGCATCGGGTGACGTTAGGTGGCAGTATGTTCGCTTCACTGCACGTGTTCACTGCACATGTTCATTGCAAACACCATCATAAATAGAGACTGTGAGGCGGGGAGGGGCGCTGCATGTGACGCAACAACAGTGAGAGCAGCACTGTTCGCTGCTGCTGCAGGCACCAACTCCCTCCGCTTCTGCTGCCGTCACGGCTGCCGTTGCCACTACCTCTGCCGCTGCCGCTGCCGCCGCCGCCGTCGATGCCGCCAGTCTCTGCTTCTACCACCATCGCATCTGCTAGTGCTATTGCCGTTGCTGCTGCCGCTGTTACTCTTGCTATTACTACTACTGTTCTGCTTCTGCCACAGTCACGGCTGCTGGTGCTGTTGCACCTGCTGCTGCTACCCCAGCTGATGATGATACTACTATGTACTGCCACTGGAGGCAGTGATGGTGGTGGTGGTGGTGGTGGTGGTGGTGGTGGTGGTGGTGGTGGTGGTGGTGGTGGTGGTGGTGGTGGTGGTGGTGGTGGTGGTGGTGGTGGTGGCGGCGGCGGCGGCGGCGGCGGCGGCGGCGGCGGCGGCGGCGGCGGCGGCGGCGGCGGCGGCGGCGGCAAAGGCGGCGGCGGCGGCGGCAAAGGCGGCCAGGGCGTGTTATGACCATGTGAAAACCTCGCACTCTCTCCATTACTGAGCGCTTTTCATTTAGTTGTCACCAGACCAACACACACATACAACAAACACCTGAGTGTTTTCATTAGCTTACACACACGTCTTCCTAAGTAAGGTGAAAAGGTGTATAGACATACAATCTCAATACACCTGCAAAATACGCTTTATAACTTCTCTCAAATGTCTGTCGTCATTTATTATTAAAATGAATTATATTATTGAGGGACGTATCCCCCAGATAAAAAAAAACTGCTTGAAAATACTTGTCAGTCAGGCGAGCCAAGGCAGTGTTGACCCTCAGCGGTAAAAATACCTAACGAAATTTACCTTTATATCAATGTTACATCGTGCAAGACTGTGCAAGATGCAATTTATAACACTTTTTAATGTTCCCCTCTGGTGCTAGGGTGATAGTCACACGGTACCATGAGAGGGACAGGCTACCATGATAGTGACCTGAGGGCTTAGGACGGGCTGAGGACAAAGGGGTTATACAGAGCCTGGGGAATGGGAGGTAACAAGATTTGATAAAGGTAATGATAGGGTTGCGCTAATTCCTTATATCAAGACAGAAGGAGGCATGAGGTAGATAAGAATGATATGTGGAGCAGATAGAATGAAGCAGGCAAAAGCCAATGGCCCATTCACTGTACTGAGATACACCACTGATGTACATTTCCCTGTACTGAGGTACACTTCCCTGTACTGAGGTACACTTCCCTGTATTAAGGTACACTTCCCTGTGCTGAGGTACACCTCCTGTACTGAGGTACACTTCCCTGTACTAAGGTACACTTCCCTGTGCTGAGGTACACTTCACTGTACTGAGGTATACTTCACTGTACTGAGGTACACTTCCCTGTACTGAGGTACACTTCCCTGTACTGAGGTACACTTCACTGTACTGAGGTACACTTCCCTGTACTGAGGTACACTTCCCTGTACTGAGGTACACTTCCCTGTACTGAGGTACACTTCCCTGTACTGAGGTACACCTCCTGTACTGAGGTACACTTCCCTGTACTGAGGTACACTTCCCTGTACTGAGGTACACCTCCTGTACTGAGGTACACTTCCCTGTACTGAGGTACACTTCCCTGTACTGAGGTACACTTCCCTGTACTGAGGTACACTTCCCTGTACTGAGGTACACTTCCCTGTACTGAGGTACACTTCCCTGTACTGAGGTATACTTCACTGTACTGAGGTACACTTCCCTGTACTGAGGTACACTTCCCTGTGCTGAGGTACACCTCCTGTACTGAGGTACACTTCCCTGTACTAAGGTACACTTCCCTGTGCTGAGGTACACCTCCTGTACTGAGGTACACTACCCTGTACTGAGGTACACTTCCCTGTACTGAGGTACACTTCCCTGTACTGAGGTACACTTCCCTGTACTAAGGTACACTTCCCTGTGCTGAGGTACACCTCCTGTACTGAGGTACACTTCCCTGTACTAAGGTACACTTCCCTGTGCTGAGGTACACCTCCTGTACTGAGGTACACTACCCTGTACTGAGGTACACTTCCCTGTACTGAGGTACACTTCCCTGTACTGAGGTACACTTCCCTGTACTGAGGTACACTTCCCTGTACTGAGGTACACTTCCCTGTACTAAGGTACACTTCCCTGTGCTGAGGTACACCTCCTGTACTGAGGTACACTACCCTGTACTGAGGTACACTTCCCTGTACTGAGGTACACTTCCCTGTACTGAGGTACACTTCCCTGTACTGAGGTACACTTCCCTGTACTGAGGTAACTTCCCTGTACTGAGGTACACTTCCCTGTACTGAGGTACACTTCCTGTACTGAGGTACACTTCCCTGTACTGAGGTACACTTCCCTGTACTGAGGTACACTTCCCTGTACTGAGGTACACTTCCCTGTACTGAGGTACACTTCCCTGTACTGAGGTACACTTCCCTGTACTGAGGTACACTTCCTGTACTGAGGTACACTTCCCTGTACTGAGGTTACACTTCCCTGTACTGAGTACACTTCCTTGTACTGAGGTACACTTCCCTGTACTGAGGTACACTACCCTGTACTGAGGTACACTTCCCTGTACTGAGGTACACTTCCCTGTACTGAGGTACACTTCCCTATACTGAGGTACACTTCCCTGTACTGAGGTACACTTCCTGTACTGAGGTACACTTCCCTGTACTGAGGTACACTTCCCTGTACTGAGGTACACTTCCCTGTACTGAGGTACACTTCCTTGTACTGAGGTACACTTCCCTGTACTGAGGTACACTACCCTGTACTGAGGTACACTACCCTGTACTGAGGTACAGGTACACTGTACTGATGCACTTAACCAGACCATCCTCGTTAACAAGTGACAGAAATCACTCCCTTAAACCCGCCCAAAGTGATCATGCTACTTAACCTTTCTTGCCTCTCTCTTCCTGTCTGTCCACAACTGTTCTTCTATCCTACGCCAGTCCTTCCCGTCCCCATTCTTGCTAGCCCTATTATGATCTAGCAAAACAATACACTACCCTAAGAACAATACATAAATAACCCGCAGATAGGAGACAAACTCTTGGCGACGTTTCGGCCGATTTGGACCATTAACTGGTCACAATACTCGAATACCAAAAATATGGTAGCATACAAGATTGCAACCTGATGTATGGAAGTCGATGTTTTTTTTGCTCTGGTTGGTATTATATTGTTACAGTGTGGTTGATGTTATGTTATAGTGGCTGGTTTTGTTATAGAGTGGCTGGTGTTATGTTACAGTGTAGCTGGTGTTGTTACAGTGTGGCTGGTGTTATGTTAGTGTGGCTGGTGCTGTTATAGTGTGGCTGGTGTTATGTTATAGTGTGGCTGGTGTTGCTATAGTGTGGCTGGTGTTGCTATAGTGTGGCTGGTGTTGCTATAGTGTGGCTGGTGTTATGTTAGTGTGGCTGGTGTTATGTTACAGTGTGGCTGGTATGTTACAGTGTGGCTGGTATGTTACAGTGTGGCTGGTATTGTTAGTGTGGCTGGTGTTATGTTATAGTGGCTGGTGTTGTTATAGTGTGGCTGGTGTTACGTTACAGTGTGGTTGGTGTTGTTATAGTGTGGCTGGTGTTATGTTACAGTGTGGCTGGTGTTATGTTAGTGGCTGGTGTTATGTTGCAGTGTGGCTGGTGTTATGTTAATGTGGCTGGTGTTATGTTATAGTGTGGTTGGTGTTGTGTTAATGTGGCTGGCTTTGTTAGTGTGGCTGGTGTCATACTATGGTATGACTGGTGTTACATTGTTATGATATGACTGGTGTTACAGTATGACTGGTGTTATATTATGGTATGATTGGCGTTATACTGTTATGGCATGGCTGGTGTTGCATTGTGTTAATTTAGTGTTGGTGTTATTGTATTGTTATAGTTGGTGTTATGGTCTTGTTATAGTTGGTGTTACTGTGGTAAGTTATGGGTTTTGTTTTCATGGGCAGTGTTCCTGTCTTATGGATGGTGTTATTGTTTTGAGCGGTGTTGTGTTGTGGCTGGTGTTATTATGGGTGGCGTTGTGTTATGGGCTGTTATTGTATTATGGGTGGTGTTATTGTTATGGGTGGTGTTATTGTTATGGATGGTGTTGTGTTATGGGTGGTTATTGTGTTAAGTTATGGCTGGGGGTGTTAAGTGTGACACTTAGTACACTTAGCATGCTCCTCTGACCAACCTACCAGGTTCACACAGCACTACCTGTGTTGGGTCGATGCTTCCTTCATGGGAAGAACGAAACGAAATGAATTTCCTTTACCAACGATCACCTCAAACATATTCCTTTCTAACGCAAACAAGTAAAAGAAAACGTGCTAATATGGATAACTTTACCTAAAGAATGTAATGTGTTACATTGTAAATGCACGTATTTGTAAATAAAATTAAAGATTTTTGAGAACAAAGGAATGAAACAAAGTGAGAAAGCGGAGTACTGCAGTGAGAAACCCCGGCGGGCTGTGATTGGTCGAGCCGTGGGAGGGTAACATCGCCTGATCCACGAGGACCAATCAGCGCGGGGCTTCCACATCGATCCTGGAGTCCGGACAGTTGCCGAAGAGTATTCCATATTCCAGTCCCAGTCAGCATGACCACTGTTTTTATCTTTCAAAACATATTCTTCAGTAATTGCAGACTCATTCTACATTCATTTCAGGAGGCCCCTAAGACATGTACTCCAGCCTGACAGCTATCAGTAAGATTTTGGCTCCTATGCATGTCTTAAAGGCACAATATATGGGCCAAGATCATAATGTCCTGCACCTTACAGGAGTTACCAGGTAATTACGCAGGTTTCTTGTTCTTTGATGTCATATTTGAAAAGGTAAACAAAGTAATAATAAGAATGAGACATACCTGGTCCTGTTCCTTGATATAGTAACATATGTTTAATCTTTACATAATTCAAAAGAAGTGAAATGTAATAACAGCGAAGACGGAAACATATGCGTTACAAGGAACACAAGGGAACATACGAGTTACAAGGAACACAAGGGAACATACGAGTTACAAGGAACACAAGGGAACATACGAGTTACAAGGAACACACTGGAACATACGAGTTACAAGGAACACTGGAACATGTGAGTTACGAGGAACACGCGAACATACGAGTTACAGGTAACACACTGGAACACGTGAGTTACAAAGAACACACTAGGACACACCTGTGGTTTGACACATCATTGTTGATGACTATGATATGTAATATTCTACAGTCAGCCAGTCTTACTGAGGTCTTCCATGGCTGACTGACATATTTAATTTTTTTAGAACCAAACCTGCGTGATGTAGCATTGATGCGAATATTCTTGTGCGTGGGGTATGACCTAAAACTCTCGTGCGTAATGGAGTATGACTTGATAATCCATTCTGCATGAAGCATGAGCTGAAAGTCATCCTGCTTGATTGGACATGACATGAATACCATCTTACGTGATGGAGTATTGATGAGAAACCAGTCTGTGGTTGAGTATGTCAGGTAAACCATCCTACGTAATGGAGTGAACTGAGAACAATCTTGCATGATGGGGTATGACCCGAAAAAAAATCAGTTATGGAGTATGACTTGAATTTCATCTTGTGTTGCGTATAACTGAAAACTATCCTGCGTGATGTAGTGTGACTTGAAAACCATCATTTGTAATGGAATGTGACCTGAAAGTTATTCTACGTGAAAATCATCTTGCGTGATGAATGGACGGGTGTATGTTACCTATACGTGGTTGCAGGGGTAGAGTCAAAGCTCCTGGCCCCGCCTCGTGCGTTTAATAAACAGTTCATGTTCTGTGTAAAATGACACCTCAGGATAGCCACACTATGTAGTGTAATACATTTTTATAAACATTAATGAAGTAACGAGACGTGAAATAACTTTCGGAAAATCCACACTTGGATTACTATATTTCCTGTCATTGTAAACAATCATCTTATGACACGAAAAAGTTTTCCATTAAGTGGGGTAGGAGAAATGCAAATATTTTTCAAATGTGATATTTCTTTTTTTTTTTTTTTTACAAAGTGGATTGGAGAGCCAATGGAAGGTCCCAGTGAACTAATCAAAAGCTCCTAAACACTTCCCAAACAGTACAATTTTTTAGATAACTTACCGGTATCTACCTCGCTCATGGTGTTGAGAAATGAGAAACACTCGCTGACTCACGTGAGCAACACTGCACTATGATTCAGTAACTAGTGAACACCTATATATTAGCTAGTGAACACGAGAGGCAGGCACGAGTTAGGGAGAGTAGCGTAACAGAGTAGCAACATCCAGTGCTGATCACATACCATGTGGTACTGGAGCATGGTGGAGACCACAGCTAACACCACCACCTCCAGCTGCACACACCCACCTCGCACGCGCACTCCACACCTACCCACCTTTTCCACATCTGTTTTCCATTTCACCACACAACATAGAAATGATGGAGGTACCCAGCAGTCTGTCTGTATCAACATTGATGATTCACATGTCATGTGGTTGCAGGCAGCGTGTCATGGGGAGGAAACATGGGAACATAATGATAGTGCATGCTAGGCTAGCTGACAACTGCGTGCCGGCCGGCCTGGCAGCTCCGGATATCCAGCCACCAACACACTGCTCATGGAGTCAGGAGGTGTCGTAGGGAATGATACATGCACACTCTCCCCCGCCCTCTCCCATCACTGAACTCCCTCAAAAGAGGTTCGTTGATTCCGGTCAAGAGACTAGAGATGCCCTCCACCTACCTCCAATCAAACTCAATTACCTTACATTTCCCAGGACTTGTGTGACCACTGTAGTCTTACTAATTAATAATCCCATGTCTAAAATAAACGTTTTTAATGTTCAGTTTTGTTTATGTATTTGTGTGTAAACAATTAGCCCATTTGAAAAAATACAATTTCGTTGAGCATATGATCACTACAGTTATCTCGTGATTAATAAATTATTTAAAGTCAAACCAAGCATAAAACTTCTTGAAAATGGTTGCTACAATTACTTCAGGGCTGATCCCAGAACTACTAGACTGGTCCCAGAACTACTAGACTGGTCCCAGAACTACAAGGCTGATCCCAGAACTACAAGGCTGATCCCAGAACTACTAGACTGGTCCCAGAACTACAAGGCTGGTCCCAGAACTACAAGGCTGATCCCAGAACTACAAGGCTGGTCCCAGAACTATAAGGCTGATCCCAGAACTACAAGGCTGGTCCCAGAACTACTAGACTGGTCCCAGAACTACAAGGCTGGTCCCAGAACTACAAGGCTGATCCCAGAACTACAAGGCTGGTCCCAGAACTACAAGGCTGATCCCAGAACTACAAGGCTGGTCCCAGAACTACTAGACTGGTCCCAGAACTACAAGGCTGATCCCAGAACTACAAGGCTGGTCTCAGAACTACTAAACTGGTCCCAGAACTACAAGGCTGATCCCAGAACTACAAGGCTGATCCCAGAACTACAAGGCTGGTCCCAGAACTACAAGGCTGATCCCAGAACTACAAGGCTGGCCCCAGAACTACAAGGCTGATCCCAGAACTACAAGGCTGGTCCCAGAAGTACAAGGCTGATCCCAGAACTACAAGGCTGGTCCCAGAAGTACAAGGCTGATCCCAGAACTACAAGGCTGGTTCCAGAACTACAAGGCTGGTCCCAGAACTACAAGGCTGGTCCCAGAACTACAAGGCTGGTCCCAGGACTACAAGGCTGATCCCAGAACTACAAGGCTGATCTCAGAACTACAAGGCTGGTCCCAGAACTACAAGGCTGGTCCCAGAACTACAAGGCTGGTCCCAGAACTACAATACTGGTCCCAGAACTACAAGGCTGGTCCCAGAACTGTAAGGCTGATCCCAGAACTACTAGACTGGTCCCAGAACTACAAGGCTGGTCCCAGAACTACAAGGCTGGTCCCAGAACTACAAGGCTGGTCCCAGAACTACAAGGTTGGTCCCTAAACTACAAGACTGGTCCCAAAATTAAAAGGCTGGTCGCTGAATTAACAGGCTGGTCCCTGAACTACAAGACTGGTCCCTGAACTACAAGACTGGTCCCTGAACTACAAGGGCTACAATAAGAAGCTAGATTGGGACAGCGAGAAGTTACATCACTAGGAGAGCAGAGAACCAGAGGAGATAGGCTCACGACTGATAACATACTTAGAAATAAAGAGGATATGTTCGCATTTGAGACAAGAATTATTAAAGTATATATATATATATATATATATATATATATATATATATATATATATATATATATATATATATAATATGGAAATAGGTGAAGCCGGACAATTGTCAATTAAACAGTTGGTGACTGAGTTATTAAACAATGGAAGGTGATTTGCGCTGAATCCAACAACACTAAGTCAGTTCTCTGTCAGTTGTCCTTGGGTGAAGGTACACTCACGTACCCTTGCATTATTTACTACTATCATGCTAAGTTCACTTCGGAAAGAAACTCTGGCATGTTGTATGTGGAGTGTTCTGGTAAGGTGTGAATTGGTTTGTCGTCAATCATCATAAATACATCTTTGGGATACAAGTCTTTTGGAGCTACTGAAGAGTGGCTGTCTTCTAAGATTAAAAATATTTATTATTCATGTTTTGCAACGAAATTTTCTTTCCCATGTTGCTCAGCAAATCTTAATTTCAACTAAACACTCTTAGTTAAGCAAGTTACCCGTGTACTAACTTGTTGCAGGTTGTGTGTACACAGATGATGTACGTGCACTCGCTGTTCATCCTCCCGGTACGTGGTTGGAAAGTGTTCTTCACAAAATATTAGTTTAATTTATATATACCAACTTTAAAATGTATAATTCTTGCATATCGGACAAACCTTTCTTAAAATATTCTTAATTATGTTAACGCTTTAACTTTTTTCTTTTCAATCCTAATTAATAATCATCCTCCCTCAATAACGTCCTTTGATATGCGAGAACAGTTGATCCAGGATTGTCATAACTGCTTCTCGTTACTCTAGGTTTAGCTCTCCCATAATTTTTTTTTTTTTTTTAAGTTTGATTTTTAGATTTAGTTTATGATCCAGCATCTTGGTAACTTCACTGTTTTGTGTAAATTAGAGCTGTATAACTATCATGCCCCACCATCACTCCGGATAATACTTGCCTATAGGATGTTAAGGAACAAACTACCCCACGTCCTGTCAATAACCAGGCTTCGCGGTGAATCAAAGCCTGATTAACCTGACTGTTACTGCCGGCCGCACGCAAACCGACGTACTAGCCACACACTCGTCAGGTACTGGCTGTATAACCCTTGTGGTTTAGTTCTTTTTTATTATTAATCTGGTACTGACTTGAGGTGCTTATCACTGCCTCTTAAACTTCAATTTTCCGAAAATGTCTAGTCAATCCTTTTGGGGCTTTGTCAGACTGTTTAGTCTTTCATATAACATGAACGACAATTTTACTTTTTTACATTTTAATAACTCCCTCCAGCTCATTTAATCAAGATCTTAAATGGAAAGCCTTTTAGTCACACTTGGCCCAAGTACAAAATCTTTCATTTTAATTATTTTTCTCTCTCCTTCCACCTTTATTAAACAACTAACCTTGTCTGCTTCTCATTTTAGGGTCACCTAAATGAAATATTTCAAGCCATTCGTGTAAGGACTGTCCCAAATCACTGCTTCGTTAGTTTATCACTGTGCAAGTTGGACTGTGAAGAGTGTGGCACCTGCTATGAAAAGTACATAAAATGTGCATTTCGTGGAGGCTTGGCACCTACCGTATTTACAACCTCCTATACTTCAGTCATACAGCAGACTTCTGAAGCTACCCTTGCGTCTTCCCCCAGTAGCCAAACTGATCTGATGCACAGTACCATGAAGTCTAAATCTTCTGATGCCATTCCTCTGGGACAACTTCCATCTTCTGGAGCGCAAGACAATGCCATTCATTTACACACTGGTAAAACACTATTAGAGAATTATACGCTAGAGGTTTCAACCATTCACAAAATGCCGGACACTTCTCTTGATGTGTTTATGGCAACCAGTTCATTAGTTCTTGACGGGCCTCTTCTAGTACCAGCCAGCACTCTTGGTCCTGCAGTTAATTTACTGTTGCCAACTAGCTCTATTGCTCCGGAAGATTCATTACTGTTGGTGGCTAGTACAAACTCTCCTGAAGAGACCTTACTCGTGTTGTCTAGTACCAATGCTCCTGAATTTTTACCGGTGCCAGCCAGTTCACTTTCTTCTGATCCTCTTCTGGTACCAGCCAGTTCGTTTGTTTCTGAAACTCCCTGGTTTATGCCGGCCAGTCCGTTTGGCCCTGAAGAATCACTTGTGCTTACTAGCTCGTTGGGCCCTGAAGAACCTTCCTTAATGCCAGCTAGTTCATCTGAAAACCCTTCGTTAGCGATTTCCAGTTCATATGTTCCTGAAGAATCGTCATTCATACCTGTCAGTTCATTTCGCCCAAGAGCACCGTTAGCGATGTCGCCCAGTTCATTAGCTTCTAGCGAGCTCCTAGAGATGCCAACCAACTCAGCTGTTCCGTCGCCCAGTTCAGTAGCTTCTAACAGGCTCCTAGAGATGCCAGCCAGCTCTGCTGCACCGCCTGTGCCAGTCAATCCTTTGGGTCCTGCCTTGCATACACTTGTGCCCATCAGCTTTGAGGAAAGCGAAGGAGATTCTGATTACGAATATTTTTAAAAATTGTTTTGACTAAATTTTTAATTTTTTTTTTTTTTTTACCTTTTGGCCCCCTGAGTATGGTGGGAGGGTAATAGCTTAATACTAAATGTTTCTGTAATTTAACATTACTTCCTCCCCAATTTTATTACTTTGGGGACCTACTATGAGTAGACGGAATAAAATATATGATCGTCTATTTATTGTACCTGGTTACCTGGTCCTTTAAAATGAGAGGAAGATGGTGAAAGATTTTTGATTAAAATGCTTTGTCTTCTATCTCCTTCCTGGTATATTTATATAATCGCTTCTTTAAACGACTACGGAGTCCCTTGTGGGTTTTAGTTTTGATTGTAAGACTTTTAAAGTAGTGTGCTCATCTCTTGCTCCTAAACTGAGGGCTTGATTACCTTGTCCCTGTACTAATAAAGCCGCTGCATAATGAAACATCTAAAATTAGATTCCCGAATGTTGCATGTCATCAGTCTGTGATCCTTGGAATACTTCCTTTAGTATTCCTCGCCGCCCTTACAAACTACAGTACTTCCGTTATACTCTCCACTCTTGCTAGTTCCAGATGGAGCATATTTCTCATTCTCTACCGGCAGCGCTGTGACCCTAGTGGGTTCAACTGTTTCTGGGATATTATGACCCTTGTACATTTAGCGCTTCTTTATTATAATCTGTGCTAGTATATGGTTACTGGCAGGCTGATGGCCAGTGCTCTGCCAGAAGAGCCCTTCAGGGAGGGTTCCTTGATGCCTCTGATGGGCTCTTGATTTAAGGAATTAGTTACTTTAATTTAGATCGAATATTCTTTATCTCCCAGGTGCTGTATGACGCCTAAAGGATTACTGCTTTCCTCATAAAAATGTACTCGCACGGGCTCTTAATTCAGGGCATTTAACCTGAACTGCCCCTTCCTTGGATCAAACTTAATGCTTTAATTATCCAGGCGCTGATGGCTACTACGGATTTAGTATTCCCTCTCTATTTACTAATACCAGGAACTGTCTTCATAGCATGGTGGTAGTGAGCGGTTAATGTTCACCTCGGTGTACCACTCCGCACTGTGGAGGTTCTCAAGACAGTGAAGGGGTTTTGATCCAAGGCATAAGATCTCTTTACGACAGTTTTACTGCCTTCAGGCGCTACACGATATTTACTTTCCGCCAGACTAACACTCTTCGCACTAATCTCGTTCATACCTCTCCTCCCTCTACAGATGTTCCTAGTGTCTACTCTTTTTCTTGCTCCTGTCCTCTTCAGTACTTTCGAGAAACTTGCCGATCTCTTTCTGACAGACTTAGGAAGCACAAAAATAGTGTTAGGCTTGCCAACACTAACAATGCTCTTTTCTTTCACGTCAGAGATCACATCCAGCCTATTGACTGGTCTGCTGTATAGCCCTTGTGGCTTAGCGCTTCTTTTTGATTATAATAATATTGACTGGTCTTCTGCTAAAACTGTCTTCCCTACTTCCAACTTCAACAGTCGCAGTCTGGTCGAATCCTCCCTAATACACAACTTTCCTTGTATGAATCTTAGTCGTGGCTTCGTCTCTGTAGATGCCTTCCTCTCCCACTACATTGTAAAATGCTTCAAACTTCAGAACACCTGTGACTTAACCTGATTCCTCTTTTTTTTTTTTTTTCCTTCTCTTCTGGGTTGTCTTTCTTCTGTCTTGTTTCTGTTCCTTCGTTATTTAATTCCCCCCCCCCCTGTGTTCTTGCTCTCCCTCTGTGGGCACCTAGCTCCCTTGCAGTGCACCCCTTTCTTTGTATTTGACTGGCTCCTCCTCCTTCCCCATTTCTACTTCCATCTCCGCCACTACTACTACCACTACCTCTTCCTGCCTATATATACCAGTCCTGCTCTTTTTTTTTATTTACTGTTTAGGAGATAATCATTCGTGCAATAAGCACTAAACTTTTGACGGTGAGCACTACAGGTGGTGGCTTGATGCACCTAAGAGGCTGACCTGTACTCGCTTAGTTGCGGTTGCAAGGGTCGAGTCATAGCTCCCTGGCTCCTGTTAGTCATAGCATGGCTATCTTGTTATAGTTCTCGACCTATCCTGCCAGTGCTCATTTTCTTCATCAAACAAAAACTGAACTGCAGTATTCACTCGCATGACCCTCTGGTAAACTTTTCCTACAATCTGGGTTATACTCTAGTCGAGGCTGCTGTCCTGCGTTTGCAGATCCTCTCCTTGTTGAGTCGTGTTACCTGTTTGATGTTCCAGTTTGTCAAGATGGCTGGCAGTCTGGGTGGCAGGATTGCCCTCTTCGGGTAGGTAGGTGGTGTCAGATAAATGTCTGGCTACATATTACCTTGAATTAGCCCATGACTTCCGTGCTCACTATATTTAGGGTGAAGCGCTAGATCAGTAAGGGCCATACAGTACTTGGGCCAAGAGTCACGTTTGGTCCAAGGAAGATACCTGGAGAGGGTTTCAGGGGTCATCGCCCCTCCCCCCGCGGCCAGGTCTGAGACCAGGCTTCGTGGTGGATCAGGGTCTGATCAACCAGGCTGTTAATGCTGACCTCACGCAAACTGACGTGCGAACCACAGCCCGGCTGATCAGGTACTGACTTTAGGTGCCTGTCCAACACCTTGAAGACAGCCAGGGGTCTATTGGTACTCCTTATGTGTGCTGGGAGGCAGCTGAACAGTCTTGGGCACCAGACACTTATTGTGTTCTATGTACTCGTGGCGCCCTTGCTTTTCATTGGGGTAATGTTGCATCTCCTGTCCAGTCTTGCTTCCATGGGGAGTGATTTTCGTGTGAAAGTTTGGTACCAATCTCTAGGATTTTCCAAGTGTGTATTGTCATCTTTCTCGCCTGCGTTCTAGGGAATACAAATCAAGGGACTTCAACCGTTCCCAGTAATTTAGGTGCTTTATCGTACTTGTAAAAGGTCAAATTCGTTGTCTGTGCTTAAGGGTATTTTCATGACTCTCTTTCACAGCGTAACACTAAAGTATTCCTTGCTGCTGCTGATCTGACTCTTGGCCACCAGTTTTGCTTTAATTTTCGAGACTGTCACCTTTTTTTTTTTAACCATTTGGGTACAGTGGTTTTCCTGTTGACTTTCAAGGCATTTTCTTTTCGCACACCTCTTAACCCTTTTTGGGCCTAGTTCCTAGGCCTTTTGTGTATCCATATGCTCTTGCGCTACCGTCCACAGGATGGATATGGAGTGCACAATAAACTAGCTTCTTCAGTGGCAAAATCTAAAGGCATTTGAAAACTGAATGCAATTCTTAACCTCTTTAATATAAAAGATTTCGTAACGATAATAAAAAATAAACCCAGCAACAATTTTATTTAACTTTGTCAACATTCCTGTGGGATGGAACCTCTTCAAGGGGGGCTCCTTGGCGTGGTGAAGAGGCTCTTGGTCTGAGGAATTAGACCTATCGGTCTTCTTCCTCAGACCGAACCTAATTACCCCCCAATCTCCCCTCCCCTATCCCATCCTCCCCATCCTCCCCTTTTTCCTTTCCTCCTCCTCCTCCCCACTCCTCCCTTTTGCCCTTCCTCTTTTTGTCCTTTGGGATTTCTCCCACAGGCGCGCTAGTTCCTAGGTAGGAGAAAGGACACCGGGGTCCATCCCATTCCGTTGAGGTTTCTTGGCGGTGGCGTAGTTTGCGTGGAATCTGGATTGCCTAGGGATGTCCCGATCCCTCTCCCGGTATCCGGAGTAGCTTTGGGTGTCTTTTGGGCGACGGGTGTAGCTCTGGAAGCCCCCTTCGGATTCCGGGGGTGGTGGCTGAAGGAGGTAGCTTTGTGGCGGATATCCAGCGCCCTCCTTTTGTCCACCGAGGTAGCTGGGCAGATGTGAGGTTGCTATCTCCCAGATTTGCTGGTTTACTGGCATGAAGGGTAGGGTATGGCACGGGTTCCATGCTGCATCTGCGCTACTAGCGGTGTCGAGTCCTCTTGGGCGCGGAGGAGATTTCTGGCCCTTTCTTTCCCCCCTAGGAACTATCCCCCCCCGTCCCCCTTTTTTTTCTTTTTTTATTTTTATTTTCTTTTCTTTCTTTTTTTTCTTAAAAACAAAAAGAAAGAAGTAACCTAACCATGGCAGCCCAGTCATGAACCTGGTACCCCCCGGGCCCTTCTTGATACCGCACCCCGTTCTGACCCCGCCTCGTCTTTGGACCACTCTTCAGACTTTCCCTCATGCCTCTGAAACCTATTGCCGGTGCTGTTTCCTCACCCGCTTCAGGTACTGAGGCCTCGACCGACTCCTTCGATTTATCAGGACCTTCGCTCTCCCCTGACTATGCTTCCGGCCTCTCCCTCTAGGGTGCGGAAATTTTTCCCAAATCGCCGACCCGTTCCACGTCGGACCAACTCTGGTCCCACGCCTAAAACGTAAACGACAATTACCTGCTGATGATACTTCTCCACCTTCACCTTCTCGTTCTTCTCAGAAACGATCGACACGTCCTTCACTACCTTTCCACGCTCAGTTTCAGACTAAAACAGTGGACTAAATTCTTCACTTTACGACCAACTTCCTCTACTGCCTATCTTTCTGACCATAGTATTGGCAAGGCACTCCTACGCCATGTTGGTAAAGATTTTCTTTTCATCCCTTCTTAAGAGCGGTACGCGCATCATTACCGTACAGAATGTACCCAGGCTCGTGAGCTCTCTCGTCTTGCCATATAGATACTGTTCCTGTCACCCTTGAAAAACATCATTCCCTCAATTCTTGTAGTGGTACCGTTATTCTGCCCCATACCATAGTTCAAAAAATTTTTCCCAGACATGTGGCACCGACATTCTAGAACAGCTGGAACTCCAAGATCTCCCAATCCTCAAGGTAGACACTTACTTTTCTTCCTGCCCGTGGGCGGGGGACGATACCCTAGCAATGTGGCTCGTTTAACTTTTGGACAGCCGAGAACTCCCATCCTCCGTTTATATAGCGGAAACATCGGTTACAAGTTCGAAAGGTGTTTCCCTACACCCACAACAGTGTAGAAATTGCTGGCGATTTGGCCTTTCCAGCGAAATATTGCAGATCTATCCCCGAATGCCCAGTCTGTGGTCCCGATGACCTTCTAATACATCTTGCAATCGATCTCCCTCTTTGCTTAACTGTCATGAGGCTCACCCTTCGTACTCTCGCCGTTGTCAGGTCTATTTAAACGAGCGGGAAATCCGTTACCTCAAAGAGACAGAAGGT